CATTGCATTAACTTGTCGTTTAATCGATAAATATTAATTAACAATTCGAAGTTTAATTAACAATAAATATAAATACCGATGTTCCTTTACGAAGTAGAGTTTCAATTTTTGCATTTCATTCAAAGTCGGAAAGTTGTCGAGCTCCGTCAACTTTATCCACATTCTTTTTACACCTTTCTCATCAGATTTGCCATAAATGGCTGTACTTTTACATTTTTGGATTCATCGAACGATGTCTTATTAGTATTTTAGGTGCTTCAAGTTGAGTGCCACGAATTTCGTACTTTCTCACTAACCTCTCGACCCGAGTCAGCTGCGATGAATCGCTTAGAACGTCGTGATCGCTGGGAAAAAGGGTGCGAAAGATTTCTCACCATAAGATCCTGCGAGTCAAATGTTTGTAAAATGGTACTCTCGAAGCGGCGCCGAGCGAAGCGAATCTTATTCCCTAGCTCGAACGCTCTTCGCCAAATTGCCGTCTTTCGTTTACTTAAACGGTTATTCCATTTAAATTGACCGTAGACCATCGAATCTACCGAAGGATTTGTATCTACGACGTGAAACATCCTCTCGAACGAGTTCGTTCAGTGGCTCACGAAAGTACAGTACAAAGTATACATTTTGCAGAGATCGTAAAACTATTTAAGCAGGCTTAAATCATTTACTGCGTTGAGTATGAGTCTCGGTACTCAGTCGGACCATATTTACTATTTAAGATGACCATTTACACTATGTATATTCGTTTTTTGCTAAATACAGGTTTGCGCTAAACATGTTGCAGTTTCTGTATATGAACGTATGTATATTTTCAGATTGAACTGATATTTTGTCAATATAACTGTGGCAGTTGCGTCCCATTAACACTAATGAAATATCCAAGTGTTTTACATAATACTCTTACCTTCTTAAATATAAATACTCTTGCAAGCCACTGTACGAGCGATTCCACATACGTTATAGGTTCTTTGTCAACGATATATCGTATATGTGTATATGGTTCTTTATTATTTACATTCTCGTTTATTTGCGCATCGTTCATCAGACACTCGCTCGCAGACACTTGTATATTAGTATGTATGCATGTGTACGTATTTGTGTGTGTATATTCATTTATTTATTCGTTTATTTATTCATTTATTTATTTTTATTCGTATTTATACATATATGTACTTGTTTATATCCCTTCCGTATGTATGCATGTATCATATGTATGTATCTATGTATGTACGTACGTATATATGTATATATACATCTGTACATATACTTGTGTGTGTGTGTGTGTGTGTGTGTGTGTGTGTGTGTGTGTGTGTGTGTGTGTGTGTGTGTGTGTGTGTGTGTGTGTGTGTGTGTGTGTGTGTGTGTGTGTGTGTGTGTGTGTGTGTGTGTGTGTGTGTGTGTGTGTGTGTGTGTGTGTGTGTGTGTGTGTGTGTGTGTGTGTGTGTGTGTGTGTGTGTGTGTGTGTGTGTGTGTGTGTGTGTGTGTGTGTGTGTGTGTGTGTGTGTGTGTGTGTGTGTGTGTGTGTGTGTGTGTGTGTGTGTGTGTGTGTGTGTGTGTGTGTGTGTGTGTGTGTGTGTGTGTGTGTGTGTGTGTGTGTGTGTGTGTGTGTGTGTGTGTGTGTGTGTGTGTGTGTGTGTGTGTGTGTGTGTGTGTGTGTGTGTGTGTGTGTGTGTGTGTGTGTGTGTGTGTGTGTGTGTGTGTGTGTGTGTGTGTGTGTGTGTGTGTGTGTGTCTAGTACTCTGTAACGCGATAAAACGTCATTAAAAAAGTCAGTACATCGTTTTTAACGCTTAAAAAACCTTAACTCGCGCTACTTTAATTTATGTTTCATTTTGACAGTGCATAGTAGGATTGTAAATCGTGATTATTTCTCCTTATAGCTCTCGTCTAACTTTCGTGCACGCGTGCCAATACACGCGAATGCACGCACACGCGGCGCCTCATCTCATACGAGGGAAGACTCGTTCTCAATCTTTTTCTCCAACGCTCCTTTCTTTTTCTCTTCTTTACGTTTTTCGTTTTATTTTCTATCTTTTCCTTTTTTCCTTGCCTTTTTTATTCGCACTCCTGTCCTCGCGTAAACCTTATATTGATCAATCGGTGTATCAATCGTTAGGATTTAATTTAAACACGCTACGCGGCAAGAGATGACAAGCGATGAAAACGTACATACATCGATTCGATGGTTTTCTCTCGCTTTGCCGCACACACACACGCACACACGCGCGGGCGCGGCCGCGCGCACGCACTCTCTCTGTCTCTGACTCTTTCTCACTCACTCACTCACTCACTCACTCACTCTCCTTTTTTCTCTATCCCTCGCTAGCCTTTTCCCGTAATTCGGCTATGCAGATATACAGAGGTAATCATAATGCGAGGTTACTTATATTCTCCGTCTCGATGTCCTCTTTCTCCTCACCCCTTCGATACCGCGTGCCCCGCCTGCCTCGCTTGTCTTCCCGTTTCACGATCGATCTTCTTCGATCCCTTGTCTCGAAACGAAGAATGCCGAATAAAAAGAAGAAAAAAAAAAAAAAAGAAAAGGCAGGAATCGCTTCGGGGCGAATCGTCTAACACGGGAAAAAATCGCAAAACGTGTATGCCATCCTGGGCGAAATCCGATAAAGAAGGCGCGTGTGTGCCTCGTAGCGCGCGAAGGATTTAAGGATGAAGGCTGCGTAAATGAATGACGGAGGCCCCATGTTCGTTTTCAATGGGTATATAGTACCTGCATTATACCAAAAACAACAGTTACAACTTATAACAATCCTTTTATTCCTTTTCATTATTATTATTATTATTATTATTATTATTATTATTATTATTATTATTATTATTATTTTATTATTATTATTATTATTATATTATTATTATTATTATTATTATTGTTGTTATTATTATTATTATTATTATTATTATTATTATTATTATTATTATTATTATTATTATTATTATTATATCTTTATTATTCTCATTGTTTTATTCATTCATTTATTTATCCGTTTGTTTATTCAGTTTTAATAATTCATTTATTTATTAATATTTAAAGTGGCACTACGATACGAAAAGACCTGCAAACGGGTTCTGAACGGTAGAAACATCCCTCGGGAGATGTACAAGTCGTGTAGCGTTAAATTCATAAAAGCACATGTAACACACTCTGTTCCACAGAATCGGTCGAAAAAAAGAGCATCCGTCGGCACGAGAAGAGAAGTGACATTTCGCACAACAAAAGACGCGCTTCGTTTTACTCTCTCTTCATCTTTCCCTTTTTTTCTACACCCTTTCTCGCACTTTTCTTCTCTCACTCTCTCACTCTGTCTGTCTGTCTATCTGTCTGTCTGTCTGTCTCTCTTTCTCTCTCTTTCTCTCTCTCTCTCTCTTCTTGATCTTCTCGTTCCGTTCTTTCAGACACGCACTCGTTCTCGCATAACGGAAGATTCGCACAGGCGCGCATTCGAACTTGTTCTCTCTCGCTGTTTCGTTCATCCTCGTTGCCTTTCGTACCTTCACGCTTCGTCTTCCTCGTTCGGTCGAGTTCCCCTCGCATCCAGCCCCCTAGTCGATACGAGAAACGTAACGCGCGAGAAAATCGAGGACGGAACGAGGTACGCGAAGACCATGCCACAAGGAAACGGCTCTCACCCGGAAAACCAAACGAACTGAACCGAACTTTGTTCATTCTATGCAACGTACACACACGTGCCGTTTTACCCCGTTGGTTCTTATCCCGAGCACCAAGCTCTCTTTACGGAGCAGTAATTTAGGTATATATTCATATGTATATGTATGTATGTATGTATGTATGTATGTATGTATGTATGTATGTATGTATGTATGTATGTGTGTGTGTGTGTGTGTGTATGCATGTATGTATGTATACACACACACACACACACACACTTTATGTATAAAGTGTGATTTTTTTGCACGACGCCTTCGCTACATATGTTATCGAATATTTTTCGTCGTGTTCTCGTTCGCAGTGTCAAGTATACTTACAATAGAAATATATTAAAATTGCAAAGTTTCACGGAGTACGTCGGATAAACTTGTCCGTGGCGCGACTAATTCTCTTATGTATCGGTATCACTTATCGTAGCGTAATCGCTAACGTAAATCCTGAATGAGGTCTTCCATATTCCCTATATACCGCATCGCGTGCTGTGTCCTCTGTGTTTCCCTGTGTGTTAGACGACTGTACTTCATATGTCTCTATGTGTATGTGCATGTATAATGTATGGTGTGTAACGTACGTGAATGAAACAACGCGTCGCATGTGGTAGTACGTGCACCGTGTGTTATACATAGCGAGAGCCGGGCAGTTGATTTAATTCGTTTCTTACAAACTGACAAGGAACAAAATTTTCATTTCAAACGACCTGCTTCGAACGAAACTCTGGAGGCTATCTGTAGCGTGACTTTCGATTGAAACGGCTCGCGGTCTGACGATCGAAGGGGTACGAGAATCCTTTGACAAAGTGGAATGTCCGATTCCGACTGCAAGGGACTCTTGCTACGCGAAGCACGATTTTGCCCGTGAATCTTAGGAGAATTTACGTCGGCGACAAACAACGAATAAATCGAGGTGTACATATCCTCTTTCTTTTCGATCTTTCTCTCTCTTTCTTGTGCCTTTTTCTGCTGCATCTACATTCTTCTTTTCAATAACACGGCGCATTTTCCACGCTAGATCAGAAACGAATTTTTGGCCGTTCGTGATCATCGTGTGTAATCGTTCTACTCTCTGTCTCTCTCATCTATATCTATCTATCTATCTGTCTATCTCTGTGCCTCTCCTTTGCTCTCTACGTATTTGTGTTTCGCGACGTTCAATCGAGAGTTCGATTCTAGTTTCCGTCGGTTCGTCGTCGTAGTTCGAGCGGGACGAAAAACAACGCAGAACAGTTCGACAGACAGCCACAAACAGATCGAGCCTCTGTCTTGTTTCGTTCCCCTCTTATTTCCCTCCTTTCCTTTCTCTAGCTCTCAATTTTTTTTGCTTTTTTTTATTTTTTAGATAGGGCAGTGTTGTGGACGGTTACGGAATCAACGTCCGTAATCCCAAAAATGTTTCCTACAAGTATATATACTATTTAATAAGTACATATTTCAACAACCGTTTTTAGAACTAAGTTTACAAGGTATCGTACGATTTTTTTTTTTTTTTATTATAACGCGACCTTCGTTTTATTATGAAAACATTTTGAAAAAAATCACGTTTTGCCGCTCGTTTACCGCCATCCCCGGCCTTCCCACCCACCTCCGATTTTCTATCAAAAAATCTGAGAATGTTCGTGCGTTCGACCCTCCGCCGATTGAACCTTTCTCTATTTCCCGTATTTTTCATTCGCGTTCTTCACCCTTTTAAACGTTTCCCCCTCTCTGCAGCTCGATACGTACTATATTAATAATAACCATTAATAGGTGTATAATCTATCTATCTATCTATCTATCTATCTATCTATCTATCTATCTATCTATCTATCTACCTATCTATCTATCTATTTATCTACCTACCTACCTACCTACCTATCTATCTATCTATCTATCTATCTATCTATCTATCTAGTAAAACAGCATCATATTAAAGTCTATCCTCTTCCTCCTCCTCGTTATCCTCGTTATTCTCCTCGGATTCCTCCTTATATCCAGGATGCTCCGAGATCGCGTAATAATTTCCATTGTAAATAACTCCGAGCTCCCGCAACACATCTCCCCTAATAATAGCCTTAATCGTCCAGTTGTAACACTCCTCGCTCTCGCTCTCGCGGTCGAGCCGCTCGACATCGAGGATCTTCGAGCTGAGCCGTTCGAGGATGATACCGATATCCTTGATGCTTAAGTGCTTCTGGTCTACGGTGAGCTGATCGATGAGCAGTAAAAATTTCTCCGAGGTCACGATCTCGTCCTCCATGATCGTGTTCTCGGTTTCGGATTCGGAGCTGTCGTGCTCCTGATGATGATTGTGATGATGATGAAGATGAAAGCTGGCAGCCGAGTTGCCGGCAAGTCGGGAGCTCGACTCCTCGTCCGCGGTGTCGCAGAATCTCACGTGACCTTTGCTCAGGCCCGCTCGTCTTGTCCCGTCCGACAGAGAAGAAGGTGGCTGAGGCGAGGGCGTTTGAGTCTGCGTTTGTTGTTGCTGCTGCTGCGGATGAGGATGATGATGCTGTTGCTGATACTGCTGATGCTGGGCATCCTGAATCGGCGATGTAGCCACCGACTTGTGCACCGCGATTCTACGGCCCTCCTCGTGCAGGGCACAGCAATGGAAGTCGCATTCTCCGCTGGCACCGCCGTCCGCTCCGTTGACAGGGCTCCCGTTCCTCGCTACCGGCTGATGAATATGGTTCGAGCATTCCGGCGTGTGGATATGGATGGTGGTGCTGTCGAACGAGTTGGTACCCTGCTTCACCAGACGGCCTGGGATCCCGTGAGGCTGCGGCTGAGGCTGCGGCTGCAGCTGCGCAGCTGCGGCTGCTGCTGCTGCTGCTGCTGTCGTTACCACGGCGGTTTTAATCGTTTGAATAGATCGAAGATTCGAGGATTTCTCGAGGCTACTACTGTGTGTGTATCGACGTCGGTAGACGCGACCGCGACTCGACGCGTTCGAGGCTTCCGGGCTCGAATCGTGCAGCTTAACAGCGTCCTGGATCTCCATGGAACGTGACATTGGCGCTCGGTGTCTCCTGCGCCATCGAAATCGACTCGTTACCCGGAAACCTCGCGTGAATCGGTTCTACAGAGTGCAAAGAGAGCTCGAGATAAAAAAATAGTCACGATCTCGTACCATGTCGTCATGATTTATCACAGTGATATGGGGGCTGGTGTAGCGGCTAGGACCAACTTCTGCCGCCAGGTGACCCAGCTTCCCTGCATAGTTGAGCTTGTCCAGGCTGGTCTGGATGACCAAGGGCGGCCGTTGACTACCGCTCAGGTCGGTTTTCTTAGTCGGCGAATACTTGGAGGCCTGCACATCTTGACCTTTCTGCTGTTGTTGCGCCTGCGACGACGTCGATGAACGCTGATCCCAGTGCAGAACCACCGTGACTCGTCCCTTATTGTCCATGATCTTCCACGACGGCGTCTCATCGTGTAGCTCCAGGGCGTGGATCGTTTCGCAGACTATTTTCGGAATTGCCGAAATCGCTGAAATCAATAGACACGCGGGACGTGAGAGCGTGTTAGACTCGTACGCGGCGCTCTACCTATCCTATTTCCACCGTTGGCTACATATGTATATACCGATACAGCCAACCAGCGATACGCAACAAGGTACATGTCACGTATGTCTTGCGTCGCCTAAGTACATTACGATGAACGCGTATCGATCTTTTTCCGGCTCGTTGCCGGATACGCGGTAGCCAGCGTGGGCGCCGTGCCGTGTACACCATCCACGTTGTTCACCGAACAAATCGTTATCTGATCGCCCTCTTCAACGAATCTGTACTTTTGTCTTATTGTACTTATGAATCGATACTCCGTCTTTTATTCACGGAGAGCTCGCTCCTGCTCGTCCTCCTGCTTGGCCCCGCTATTATAATCGCGAAACTCACTTTCCTGTGATCCGACCGCGACATACAACGCTGACGTCGACGCTGTCGTCGACGCTGACGTTGCCACCGTCATTACGTTACATGGCTTTACAAATGTTTCGTTTTTTAGAACCTCTTAACTGCATCAGGCAACTTTTCATCCGACGACCTTAGATTCTTCGAATTTGGCGAAGCTTCGAGCCACATGTACATCAAGTAACTACCAGATCATTCGACCAAAAATATGAACGACGAATGGGCTTCTTCCCGACGAACGACCGCAAGTCGCTTCAACTTGGTTGTCAATGTGTTTACGCGGCGAATTTACAAACAATTCAGAGCGGATCTAGTCGGTGGACAAAACGTTACCTGATGTAAACGAGATTTAAGCTGTCGGTTGCATACATTAAGCAGCTACGCTCGAAGCGATCAGGTCGCAACCGGGTAAAAAATGGACGAATATTTCTTCTTCTCACGACTACAACCTTCAACTTGATCGACATTGTGCTTAAACATCGTTTGCATTAAGCAATATCATTTCTATTCAAATTCCACCGTGCAAACACCGTGTCAACCACGTTGATACTACTTTGAATCTACACCGTGGCCGTTCAATCACAAGTAGCTCATTCGTCTATTTTTGGTTGGACGATCTGGCGATTTCAACTATAGCTGCCTGATACAAAGCGCGGCTTAGATCTTTACCCTACGATCGATCGACGATCAATTTGTTGGAAGAAGACACGTCACTTTGCGATCGGGACAAGCTATACCTCTCTCTCTCTCTCTCTCTCTCTCTCTCTCTCTCTCTCTCTCTCTCTCTCTCTCTCTCTCTCTCTCTCTCTCTCTCTCTCTCTCTCTCTCTCTCTCTCTCTCTCTCTCTCTCTCTCTCTCTCTCTCTCTCTCTCTCTCTCTCTCTCTCTCTCTCTCTCTCTCTCTCTCTCTCTCTCTCTCTCTCTCTCTCTCTCTCTCTCTCTCTCTCTCTCTCTCTCTCTCTCTCTCTCTCTCTCTCTCTCTCTCTCTCTCTCTCTCTCTCTCTCTCTCTCTCTCTCTCTCTCTCTCTCTCTCTCTCTCTCTCTCTCTCTCTCTCTCTCTCTCTCTCTCTCTCTCTCTCTCTCTCTCTCTCTCTCTCTCTCTCTCTCTCTTCCTCTCTCTCTCTCTCTCTCTCTCTCTCTCTCTCTCTCCCCCCCGCCGCTCTTTTTCTGCTTCTCTGTAAAAACAATTCGGGTCTATTATATCGTTATTATATTCGTTATTTGCAACCTGTTTACCGGCCGCGTGAAAAGAGAGATAAAAACGGTGGTAAAGGCTGATCGTGTTCAATGCGAGCAAGTAAGAGGAGAGAGAATGCAGCGTAGATAATGGAATATCTTATTAATACGGCGTGTCTTCTCTTGTCTTTCGACGAGTCGCTTCGATCATCCTGTTTGTCTACTTTTCACGGAATCCTTCCATTTTGTACTCTTACGGCTATTCGCGGTCTATGCTCTAATTTATAGGTTAATCCTATCAGCACGCGTTTCCTCGATTCTCCCTCTCTTTTCCGTCAAGACAACGCTACCGTGCATAGGTATTTTGAACGCTTTCGATATATACGGTTAACAGAAATTGATGAAAGCAGTAGTTGGTATTTAGTAATTAGTGGCAACTGGTATATATAAAGAAGCAATAATCGAGTGTGGATGAAAATTGCATCTACGGGGAACACCCGAGTTAAGCGGCTTTAATCGCATCTACGTTGAAATTTTAGGACAAGCAGAATATGTGAATATATGTTATAAAACTACATTTTATAAGCTTCTATGGATTTGATCAAGCGTCAGCTATTTATCAGCGATGAATGCGGAATGTATCGCATGTTTCAGTTTCGATTTAACGGAAGTTTCACTTAGGATCGCAGTTATAGGAAGAAGTGAGAAGAATTAATAGATAGAGAAGCGCATTCTTCTACCATATGGTTGAAAATACGATAAAAATATCAATGTTTCGACCAGCAGGTATCCTTGATACTTATGCACGGCAGATAATGGTTATTCTTCGAATAGGTACCGGCGCGTATGATGTCGACCCCAGTTGGACACCAGCGTTCACCATGCCGTAACAACAACAGGATCGTATTATTCGCTAGGGTTTTAAAATATTCGCCGTCCTCGACCTGCGTTCCGTCCGATTCCAGAACTACGGAGACATTCTCGTTCTGAGGCACGCCCAATTTCTCCTTACCTGAAAGAGAAGAGAGAAAGAATGAAACAGCGATTAGTCGGCCTGGAACATGATCGATCGACAGCGTTACATTGTAGCGTCGATTCGAACTACGAACTAGGAAGGAATGAACAGAAAGAAGGGTAGACCGAGGCGAAATAACGAACGAACAAAGTAATGTTTATCCGCTGTTCGAGAGAGGAGTGTCTCACGATGTTCGAATCGAATCTGCGGGTTAATTCCATACGATTCGATTCGATTCGATGGTAGATGCCTCTCTCGGTGAAAAGAATATTCACGATCTTCCTCGCCTACGGTTCTTTCTTCGAGATCTCGTACGAAACGCTTCGTGATCGTGTTATCCGTTATCTTTTCTTTTCTCTCTCTCTCTCCCTCTCTCACTCTCCCTCTCTCTCTCTCTCCCTCTCTCTCTCTCTCTCTTTGTCCGACAACGGGCGGCGACGATTCGATTCGATTCGATTCGATTCGATTCGATTCGCTTCGATTCGAATAAATGTTCTGCATAAAAAAAGCGATACCTTGCGACCAGTAATCCAATATCTTGTGTGTCGTGAAAAGAAAGAAATCACGTTATGTATATAAATTGTCGTGTATCAGAGCAGCGCTTATCGCGAGAAATCGAGCATCGAAGCAAAGGCGGCTCCGGTTCGGAGCAAAGGTAGAATCGTCGAGATACATTATGTATACTTTCCACAGCGAGCACCAGCGAGTCGTTACTTTCGCTAGCGGTTTCAGAGGGCACGCTCGCTTCTTACCCTGGTGTATCAGTTCCTCGAAATTGCTAACACACAGTCCCTTTCTTACGTTACGCCAGCTGTCCCATATCTTAAAAGGTCTCTTGCTCCGTAACTCCTGCACAGAAATTAACCGATGCAGTTTGCGTTCAAGTCACGCGATTGCGCGAGAAACCTACCAGTTTCATTTTACAAACGCGATCGAGAAGACAAGGTAAAGGTAAAGGACACGACAAAGGATTCGCAGACGGCCGCTAAGGATAGAGTTTGGTAAAAGGAGGCCCACAGAAGAAAGTCAGTTTGGATAATTGGCGCGTTCCAGTGTCGGTCAATGGCCGAGCAATTCGTTGAGTTAGTATCGAAAACAGGCCGGAGAGAGAGAAGCAGGCTAGTTGAGTCCTGTACGTATTGGAAAATAGTAGGTCTATCAATGAGAGGGAATCGCTTTAAACGAGATGTAATTGCGTGTAAAGAAACTGTAAAACCGCGTGCGAGCCGCCGTGGAAAATGCTTATCGCCTAGATGTTAAGTGGAGTGTCAGGCACCGGGTCAACGGGAAAGTAATTTACCCTACGTGTTTTATATGCGGTAACTAAGTAGAACAGACTATAAACAAAGCCTTTCGCGCGCCTCGCCTGGGAAATTATTATCGAATATCTATATATCCTTGCAACAGCTCGCGCTACATATTTTTTCTTCTTCTTTTTTTTTTATTTTTTTTCACGTCTTCGTTCCTGTTCTTCTCGTCTTTCACTCTTGGGCGAGAAACGACGAGCGAGAGAATCACGGGAAAAAATTTAACGTTCTCCTTGAGAATTTATTTAGAACGCGTACACAACGCGTCACTACGAGAGTGCCCACAGGGAAGAGTTTTCGAAATTTTAGTCGGTCTGGTGTACTCGAGGATAAACGACACCAGCCAGCGCTGTTGGACAAAAGTAGGAGAAACGTGGACATACAAACAAAACAGGGTCAAACAAAAACAGTCTCTCAAGTCCGTTATCCTGCAAATTGGAGCAAAATTTGTCGCGCCGGTATCGGACTGTCTCAAGAAAAAACGAACGGCATAACAGTTTGTATCCTTCCAGATCGTAGCGCGAATTTAGAAGTGGAACGAAAGAAAGAAGCGAAAATTCTTGCTTCGTGCTAAAATTTTCCTGCGATTCTTCGGAACATCACTGGCCTACAAAGCGGGCCCTACATCTAGGAATTCGATGGCTTATCACAAAGTAAAACAAACGTACTTTTTTTTCTTAAACACCTTAGGAGTGTGACTGCACGATCGAACGCAGAGCATAGAGTTCGAGAACGCGAGAGGCGATTACTCGATTATCGGGGTTAAGGGGTCTCTGGATCGGGCTACAGGGACTCGCAAACGATATTAGAATAATGCGAGCCAAAGAGGAATATTATGTTTGGGTTGTCCCTAGTTTTCAACAGGGAGGCGCAAAGTGAACAAGGCGCAGACGCAGGCGCAACTTATGGTCGAAAACACTGACCTGATTCAATCATTCTCGGATAAACCGTCAGAAAGAAGAAAAAAGAGAAGAAAAGAAAGGGAGAAATGGGAAGAGGGGAAAGAGAAAGGCAGAAGAAAGAAAGATCGGAAGCTAGGGAAGTAAGGAAAATACAAAGGGGATGAAACGAAGCAGTGGTAAAAACACTGTTAGGAGGTGCAAGAAACGCAGAGAATCTCGGTAACCAGGGCCAGCCGCACTCTCCCTCGTTCGGCGTGTTGCTCTCGTTCAGCAATAGAATTGCACTCGATGCAGTTTCCTCCGGGGCACGATCTTGGTAAACAATCGCTTAAACGCTCCGAACCGTTACACACCGCAATCGAGGCCACGCCGATCCTAAGGGATTTCGCGGACGGAAAGAAAGCATAACCTAAAAGGGCAGCTGCGCTGACCAGCGTACGCAGTCAGATCAGTCTGAATCTCGGGAGAGAAAGGGAGAGAGGCAGAGAGAGCGAGAGAGAGAGAGAGAGAGAGGGACAGAGAGAGAGAAAGAGAGAGAGAGAGAGTGAGAGAGGGAGGGAAAGAGGAAGAGAGAGAGACAGAAAGAAAAAGAGAGAAACAGAGAGAGAGAGAGAGAGAGAGAGAGAGAGGGAGAGAGAGAAATACAGGATAGTGTTTCGCGGATAAGAACGACGATCGAAAGACATAGGAAGCGGACGAACGTGAACGTGCACTAGATAATCTAGACCTAGACGAATGCACCAGTAGCGGAAGGTATGCGACATTTTCGTTTACCAAAATTGTACGGTTATCATAATCTATGCGTGCGTACGCGTGAGTCCGTGACGCGAATGCGTAACTGGTTGACAAGCATTTCGACATGGTTGGTACACTCGCGAGGAAGGTGCGTACATTAGGACGATAATAAAAAGTAGAACGAACGAGACCGTCTTGTAGGATCGCGGAGAAAAATTCGGGATAAAAATTTGGGGCTACGGAGATGAAGAGATGAGAAGTAGAGGACAGGCGGTGGATGCAACGAGCTCGCGGTTCTACAAAAACGATCGGTAATGAAAATATGAGAATGTAATAGAAATGCGTACCTCTCTTGCCATTACGTCATATCCCTGCAGGTAAGGGACCGTCCCAGCAAGCACTTATTCAGAAGGAACGAGCAAAGAAGCTGCACGTCGCATTATCGTGGCGACGGGATGCTCTCGTGCACTACTGTCCGCCCACCCTTGCTTGCGCTCTCTCTCTCTTTCTCTCTCTTTCTCCCTTTCTCTTTCTCTCGTGCTCCCGCTACTTCTCTCTCTCTCTCTCTCTCTCTCTCTCTCCCTCTTTCCCTTTCTCGGCCCGTTTCTCTCGATTTTTCTTGGATCCGCGCGTTTCTTGCCCTTTCTCCTCTTGGTCTTTCGCCTCTCTGCCTGCCTGCTTGCTTGTTTTTCCTTCGATCCGAACCTCTCGCGATCTTCTCGCGAACGTTTCTCCGTCTCGTGCACCGTATACCGAAACACCTTGCGATGCGACACCGTTTCTCTTTCTCTCTTCGTCCCTCTCCGTCTCTCACACTCTTGATTTCGCTCTTACTCTCTCTCTCTCTTCCTCTCTCTATCTATCTTTCACTTCCACCCTCTCGTTATCTGTCTGTCTGTCTGTCTTTATCCTTCCCTGTCTCTCTCTCTTTCTCCCTCTCCCTCTCTCTCTCTCTCTCTCTCTCTCTCTATCTATCTATCTCTATCTATCTCTTCCTCTTTTTCCACTTCTTCCTCTTTCTCTCGCTTCTCGCAGTCGATCTATCTGTCTGTGGCGCGCTCCTCGTGCCTTTTCCTCTCTTTCTATCAGTGTCGATTTCTCTCCCTCTTCCTCTCTCTCTTACTCTCTCTCTCCCCCCTCCCTCCCACCCTGTCTCTCTC